GTTTCCCCTAAACCCTTCCCCGAAAACTCTCCCCATAACTCTAACCTCAATTACATCCCCGTCGTTCGAATTCTCAATTCCGACCATCCGGTGGACGATCCAGATCGGGAGATTTTCAAATCAGAAGATGAAAACGTTGTCGTTGCTGGATTTGCTCTGTTTTTCCCCAATTTTCCGGCGTATATGGGGAGGCCAGGTTTGTATGTGGAGGCCATTTTCGTGAGAAAGTGTTACCGGAGGAAGGGGTTCGGAAAAATGTTGCTGTCGGCGGTGGCGAAGCAGGCGGTGAAAATGAATTACTGTGAAGTGTTCTGGGTGGTGCTTAATTGGAACGTGAATGCGATTCGCTTTTACGGAGACATGGGTGCCCAAATGTTGCCGGAGTGGAGAATTTGTAGACTCGCCGGCGATGCTCTTCAGCTTCATCAAAATGATAACTGAAACAGAGGATTTTTTTACTGTTTTTTTTATTTATTTAAATTATCATGTCCTATCCAAACTTCTCAAACCTTCTTACCCTTCAATTAAATTTTATGGACATTTCCCAATAAATTTAAGTAATTTTAAAAATTGAATTAAACGGAAACTTTTCATAGTTTGGGAGAAAAAATAGGAAGTATTTTTTATAATTTAAAATAAATGATAGTTAAAATGATAGTTACCGTGGCCGAGAGTCTTACATCGTCCCTAGTCTTAGCAGCCGTTTAAGTCGCTCGTTCGATTTCCTTGTCGTTTCTGTACCTCGTCTAAAAGGTGGGTGGTGTTTCGTATTCCTCCTCTTATTCGCCTCTCGTACTTTCATATAACAATCATTGATTAGATAAATACGTCGTGGCGTTATCTTATTGGCTAGCTATTGACATCTTATCTCAATCATCAAATCAATAGTTAAAAAATAAATATTTGAAAAAAAAAATGAAAACAAATTATATCATTCCAACAAAAAAAGAAAAAAAAAAAAGAAAATTGTTCTTATATGTAAAATGTTATAAATGTTTTATTATTTATATTATAAAGTTATTATTTATTTCTAGCTCTCTCTTTTGCAGAATATTTATAAAAAGAATATAAGCTCTTGAATTGTCAACTATTTTTTAAAATAAATTATTTTATAAAGTTATGATATGAAAAAAAAAATATGATAAATTGGAATCTTTTAGAGAAATAAAGAAATTAAAAGGCATTTAAAAAGTGAAGTATAAATAATTAAAAATGAATAATTATTGAATCATAGAAAAAAGAAAGAAAAAATCAAAATAATGAAATGACTTATAAAGCATAAATAAACTGTATTCCTCCACGTATCAAGAACAATAATTTTTTAATATCTATTTTTTAATTAGAAGGGAATTAATATATTTTTAAAAGTTTAAAGATATTATTGGAAATGTATACTTACCGTTTGGTCTGCATATTAGTGACAAAGATATTTTTAAAGTTTTAAAAAAAGTTATACGGTGTTAATGATTTTTTAACTAATTAAACAACGTCCAACTAGGAAGAGGAATTAAGATTTTGGTTGATTTTATTTTAACGAGCTCGTATTTTATTTCGTAAAGTTATTGATCTTTTTTATCGTCCTTTTAACTTGTTGATCGGCTTAAACTAGGCTCTAACTTGTGGATTTACTTATATAGAACTTTTGACTAGTTGAGGGTCGGTTTAAGATAATATATAAATTATTTTACATTTTTATTTAAAACAAAAGCTACATAAAATATTAGCTTGAGTATACAAAATTTACTTAATACAATTTTTATGAAATTTTAATTTAAAATAAATTTGGAATATGATTCTTCCCAATCTTAGTTTGGATTTGGGAAACTGTATTTTTTTTTATATTTATTTATACAAATTAAAAACTATTCCTTTTAAAGAATCATAACATCTCATTTTTAATATAAGTTTTATTGAAAAATAAAAATAAAAAAATTAATATAAGTTTTATTGGGAATTAAAATGGTGATATTTACTTATTTTTATAAATAATACTTTATTAGAAATATTAAATTACATTTTTATAATAAAAAAAATATGAAAGTGAGTTTTCATAATTTTAATTTTAAATTATTAAAATATAATTTTAGCTCCCATTGCCTCTACATTATAAAAGGATGTTTGGTGCGAGCACGTCAGGCATCCGAAGCTGTTAGTTTCTCTAGCTTCAGTTGTAATGGACGCCGCCGTCTCCGTTACCTTTTGGGAGGCCTACGCCCCATAGAAACTGTCTACCTGAGATTGTCCCTTGGCCCGTAGGTCCTGACACAAGGTTAGAATTCTAGCTCTTCCAATGTGGTATCTCACTGATGGCTCGAGCCCCCCGAAAGGGGGCCTTCTTCGCCCTCCACCTAAGCTGCATAGGAAAGGCCCGGGTTTATTGTCTTAATAAATAAGATTGGTCTTTCTTTATCATATTTTATCTTTTAGCATATTTTATACATAGATTGAATAAGTTCATAAAAAAGGAAAACAGAAGGAATAAAGGATGCTCTTCACAGTGCGAGGGCTTTGGTGTGCTTCCTTATTTTCAGGTCAGAAGAAATGGTCCAATAGGAGCAAGAATTTCCAGGAACATTTCATTTATGAGGAAGAGCCATTTTCATTTTCAAGTAGTGTTCGCTCGATTACGTATTAATCAATATTCGATTGATTGGTCTGAGGTTATCGATTCCGTCGCCACCCACCGACTCTCCTCTGTTCTCCCGAATCCGCCTCGCCGTTCCCTCCAACGTCCCTCACATTCACAAGCTCATCCACCAAATGGCCGTCTACGAACGTCTCTCTGACGTCTGCTCCACCACCGAATCTGATCTCTCCGCCAATCTCTTCACCTCTCCGCCCTTCCAATCCGTCACCATTTTCATTCTAGAAGTTTCCCCTAAACCCTTCCCCGAAGACTCTCCTCATAACTCTAACCCTAATTACATCCCCCTCGTTCGCATTCTCAATTCCGACCGTCCGGTGGACGATCCAGATCGGGAAATTTTCAAATCAGAAGATGAAAACGTCGTTGTTGCTGGATTTTCTCTGTTTTTCCCCAATTTTCCGGCGTATACAGGGAAGCCAGGTTTGTATGTGGAGTCCATTTTCGTGAGAAAGTGTTACCGGAAGAAGGGGTTTGGAAAAATGTTGCTGTCGGCGGTGGCGAAGCAGGCGGTGAAAATGGATTACTGTGAAGTGTTGTGGGTGGTGCTTAATTGGAACGGGAATGCGATTCGCTTTTACGAAGACATGGGTGCCCAAATCTTGCCGGAGAGGAGAATCTATAGACTCACCGGCGATGCTCTTCAGCTTCATCAAAATGATGACTGAAACAGAGGAGTTTTTACTGTTTGTTTGTTTTTTTTTTTTTTTTTAAATTTAAAATTTTATATTTAAATTATCGTGTTCTATACTAACTTTTAAAGTTTGTTTCTAAATAAATTTATGGACATTTCCCAACAAATTCATTGCCAATAAATAAATAAAATTATTGCAAAACAAATTTAACTAATTTTAAAAATTGAATTAAACGGAAAATTCTCATAATTTGGGAGAAAAATAGGGTTTATAATTTAAAATAAATCATAGTTAAAATGCTTATGTATTTTCCATTAACATTTATTGTTTCACATTCTCTCAAAATTTAAATTAAAAAACAAAACTAATTTTTCTCATGTAAATAATATTTTTAAATAAATATAAAAATATTATAGTATATTTATTTATGGCTAAATTATAATAAATAGAACTTATTAGCTTATTTTAAAATATTTTTATTCTTAAAAGTTGTAATATTATTTTTTAAATTTTAAAATAGAAATTATTTAAATTTTTAGACAAAAAAAAAAAAAAAAAAAAATTCTTACAACGATTTAAACTAGTGTGACAATATATAATGTTACTGACAATAATAATAATAAAATATATATATAAAAAGTTTAGACAAGGAAAAACTAATTACAATATACGCCTATTTAATTTTTGCATTTATAAAATTAACCCTATTCTTTCCGAAAAAATGTATGTCATATTTTTGGGCATCAACCTTTTTTTTATATAAAAAAAAGTTTTATTCCTTTTACCGATATCTTTTTAAAAAACACCTGAAACATGAATGAAGATAGTCAAATTTTAGAATTATGGTAAAAAAGATAATAATAAAGGTAATACAAATCTTGAAACTATATTTTTAATTTATTCGTGTGCTCTACAAATAATATTTCTTTTACGAACAAAAGAAATATTAAATACTTTTTAAATTAAGAAAAGCATAAATTATATTTTTTAGTACAAGGTCATTTTATTAATTTAGGAAAAAAAAACGGCTATAACAACGACACGGCCGCATTCAACGTTTGTAACGGCAATGGTCAGTTTTATTCGGACCCGCTAAAGTGGGTGGCGGCGGCGACGACATTGAAGGGGAGCCATTTGGATGAGGTGAAGCGGATGGTGGAGGAGTATCGAAAGGCAGTGAGTGGTATGGCTTGGCTTGGCGGTGAGAGTTCGAAGTCGCCGCCATTGCTGGTGGCAGCAGCAGAGATGTCACGAGCGGCTATGTCGGTGAGAATCAACGCTCTTTTGAAAGAAGGCATAGCCATTGATGGGCTTTTGATTGGTAGGCCCAAGTACAAGGAAGTTGGGCCGAATGGGGAGTCCATGAACACATCTCAGGCCTTTCAATTTGTACCATGAACTATTTTCACAATAATTTCAAATAAATAAGAACAAGTCCAACCACTGCATGCGGCAGGCTGCCGCCGCTTGGGCTTCAATTTATTTATTTTTTCTATTTTTTTCTCGGTTAAATTTCAAAGTTTATTTAAATTTCTTTTAATATATATATATATATTTTTTTTGTCTATTTTGATTTAAATTTTTAAGATTGTTTAATAGACATTTTTTTTTATAAATTTATATATTTAATATTTTTTATAATTTTTAAATTTTTATATTTAATAGATTCTTTATATATTATTAATTATAAAATAAAATTTTTTATTGGGTTTCTTAATTTTTCTTTTCCCTTTTGTTTTCTTCAACAAAATCAAATGGCGTTTCTTTCAGGTTTTCCGGTTTAGGAGATCCATCGGAACAATCTCTGAACTACTCTGAATCTCCTGGTGGGATCCACCGAAACCCTCTCTAAGCCGCCGCCGCCGCCGCCGTCGCCATCTCCACCCCGATTTAACCCACCAGCCGTTGTCCTCTGAATTTTTCTCTCCTTTTTCCGTTTTCCATCTGAAATGGTGAAAGCTTTGCCTCTTCACCTCGGAAGCGTGAAAATTTTCCCCAAATTCGACAGTTCTTATGATCTTCCTTCGCTTCCCCTGCTCCCGCCCGCGAGGCTCCCCGCCTATGGTTTCAACAAGCTTTCTCTGTCTCGAAAATTTCCGCCGCTTTCCCAGAAAGTTTATGTGACTGATGAGAAGGTTTCTCTGCTCGGAGCTAGGACGCAAGAGAGTTCCCTGCAATTTCGAGATGAATCGCCTGTTTCGATGGAGCTCCAGTCCATTAGCAGCGAACTTGAATTCGATCAGGCTATTGCAGATGCGGAGGAACACAACGGGCTCGTGATTCTTGTATGGTATGCATACGTTTCTTTTGGGCTTTTCTAGGGTTTTACTGAAACAGAATAACAACCTCTGTTGTACATTAATTCTGATAATTTTCAACAGCTTTCCTTCAAGCCTTTCAAGAACATTTCTCTTTGTTTTACCTTGTTTCGATGATGTGAGTTTATGTGGATATGTAGGATGGCTAACTGGTGCAGAAATTATATTTATTTGATACCCCAATTGGAAAGATTGGCTGCTGATTATTACCCCAGGTTAGCTCTTAGCCCATTTCTTTTGACCAACCAAATGGCTAAGTCCTTATTGAAGTTGTGCTTGTTCTTGATGAATTTTAGATTGCAGTTCTACTGCATTGATGTCAATATGGTGCCACACAAGCTAGTTGTTCGTGTCGGATTAGCTGTAAGTTCCTTCCAAAGCTTGCAAATTATAGTGATCTTCTTTAGGTAGGATTTTACTTGAGTTCTGTTTACCATGGAAATTAGAACTTGTGTTTCATTACCTTTAGGAACGTTTCCAATTTGCAGTTTGAACATAGGAGTCCGCGGACATGTTGAGCTTGTGTTACTTTGATGGATGAGTTGATTGAATAAACTGCTTGATCTGTTTTATCTTTCATTTATTGTTTGCGAACATGAAATCTTTATGTGAGATCCCACATCGATTGGAGAGGGGAACGAAACATTTCTTATTAGAGCATGAAAACCTCTCCTTAGTAGACGCATTTTAAAACTTTGAGGGGAAGCCCGAGAGGGAAAGTCCAAAGAGGACAATATCTGTTAACGGTAGACTTAGGCTTAGGCTGTTACACTTTCTATACTTGGTTGAATGATACATGTCCTGATCATTTTGATTTCTTGCATTTTCTCGTGTATCTCAACCGTTCGTCTTTGAATCTTCCAGAAGATGCCAGCTATTCAGGTGATTTTCTTCACAATCAGATATGTTAACGTTGGAAACCTTCATCTCTTCTAATATCAAGATCTTGATTATGTTTATTGCAGCTATGGAAGGATGGTAAGAAACAAGACGAGGTGATTGGTCTCTACAAAGCATATTTAGTTGTCAACGACGTTCAGAAAATGATCGAACGTGAGCTAACAGGCGAGTGACTTACGATTCATTTTTACCCTCATCCTCTTACCCACTTAGTGGTATTTGAATTGATTGATAGCATCTCATAGAAATTCCCTTCTGCTTACATTCATCAACATAAAGAACACGGCCTGGCTGGCCTTCTGAAGCCTTCTGAAAATATTAGATGGTTGCTTCAGTATGATAGCCGCTCGAAATATTAATTGTTCTCGGTTATAATAATTGTTCAAAATTGATGGTTGTCTTAATAGATGGGCTGATAGTTGTCTCAAAAAGGTTAGTTGTGTCCATTATAATAATTGTTTAGACATATTGGTTGCCTCAACTGAACTTATAATGCTCGTCTCAAAAGATGAGTTGCCTTGAAATATTGGTTGGTTTTGTTCCAAAATATTGGTCGCCTCGGTGTGATGGTAGGCAAGCTTATCGACACATTTCTTCTCCAAGGGGCTTCAACTTTTTATAGACTCGAAGATCCATAATGCTCGCATTATGAATAAGAAACTCATGCTCAACATCAGTTAGTTGCTCGAGTGCCTTTTATAGAAGAGTTCTTTTAGGATCTTTAGCATGAATGCCAACATCCGCTTTCTTGCCGACCTTGCTTCATGCTAACATCCGCTTTCTTGCCGACCTTGCTTGAAAAGCGAGAGAAGATAGATCACTTAGAGTTAGCAGAGTGTAGTTACATATGAACATCTATAAGTTCTTATGATTTATCCTAAGCAAGTAGTTTAAGCAATAGTAGACCCAACATTTAAAGAGCGATACCACCTTGAAAAGGTACGACAGAAATGCAAGCAAAGCCGTAGATAGTATAGGCATTAAAATGATTGTTTTAATAGTCTAGTTTTCTCAAAATATTGGTTGGCTCGATATATTGTTTTGAATTATCGAAGGGCTCAAAATCACAGTGATTGCAAAATATCGGTTACCTTTGTATAATAATTGTCCCGAAACATTGGCTATGTTGATAGGCTACTTTGAAATATGGTTGTTATTTTCATGGATGTGACATGGCAAATCCTTGGTATTTGTGATTTAATTGGTCATTTGAATATGATAACTTAGTTTTTTTCTAAGTTTATTGCTTAAATTTTAAATTTGGGTGGGTCGGTTCTTAAAATTTAAAAATATAATTAATTTTTATGGGTAAAATTACCGATCTAGTCTCTACAACATATATATTTGTGTACCGATCTAGTCTCTACAACATATATATTTGTGTACCGATCTAGTCTCTACAACATATATATTTGTGTTGAGTAAAGTTATAATGAAAATTCATGTTTTACTCATGAAAATTTGTCTAAAACCCTTTCTAAGTTTGTAATTTGATAAATTTTTAAACTTTCATATATATTAGGAATATAAAAACTTGTATATATTAGGAACAATGTTTTTTGTTTTTTTTTTTATAAATTTTTTTAATGTTTTTTAAATCTCAATTTTGCATTTATTAGGAATGATGTTTATTATTATTTTTTATAATTTTTATAATTTATTATTGTCTTTCAAAATCTAATAATCTTATTGTTTATCATAAATTTGATTCATAATTTATTTATTTAAAATTTAAAATTATACATTCCATTTTGTTTGGTCATGCATATTTAATTTTAAATGAGCTTTAGTTATCTCATAAATCTACAAAATATGAGTATGAGATATGATTGTCCATGTTATTAATTTTTTTCATTATAAGTAAAGTATCTGTGGGTATGAATTTTTAAAATTCAATTAAATATTTATATAGCTTGAAATAAGGTACCTTTTTTAATTTGGGATTTATTTTAATTCTTTTCTAATTTCAGGATTTAAATACCTAACCATGTGGCTATCACTCGTTTTAATTGGGTGATGAGTTGGGCTTTGAAGGCCCTACGGGTATTTTGTTGGCCCATTTCCACATTAATTAGGCCCAGACCAGTATTTTTAAATTAAAAATTAAAAATAATTTAATTATTTTATTTTAGTTATTTAGTGGCTTCTTCTTCACGCCACTTCTGTAACGGCTCTATTTTGCCGCATCTTTCTGGCTTCTCTATAAATTGTTTCGCTGTCTTCGGCGCTCTCCATTCCCGGTTTACCAGTTCTAGTTTTTTCTCTCTTCTCTCTCTCTCTGCAAAATCATCCAATTTCTTCGGAATGCTCTTGGGGTTTAGGTTTTCAGCCTTCGTAGAATTGGAACGATCGGCAGTCGAGATCGTACTCTCCGTCGCCCTTGACTTCGATCTCCCTCTTTTCCCTTCGGGAAATCGTCTTCGGAAATCTAATTAGGTTTTCGTTTTTCGTTTTTCTCTTCGGAAATCTAAAGTCGATTAGGTCTTGAATCTCCGTCGTCTCTTTGTGAATTCATCATGATTTTTCTATAATAATCGATTACGCTTTGCCTCTTTCTATTTGCGAAATCATCTTGATCCTTTTGAAGTCTAATTAGGTTTTGGTATGATTTTTTCAGAATCCATCAATTTCAAACAATTTAGAGTCTAGGTCGCAAGCCCACTTTTAGTACCTGTTAAGCCGTCCTTCTACTCTTGAAGCATTACCATGAATGGGCCTCCAATCGTGGTTCGAATGCCACTTCCAGAATCCTCGGGACTTTTGTTCATTATCTCCATCCCAATGTGGGGGTCCAATGGTGGTCGAATGCCAAGGGAGCGGAATACTGTTGGGGCATTATCATGAATGGAAGGTAAACTGGTATGATTTTACTGTGAAACCCTAATTTTCGGATTTCTCGTAGTAATACGTAATCACATAACATATCTCTTGAGTCTATAAAGTTTTTGGAGTTCTAAGTAATCTTTAGTTTTAGATGCAGTTTCGGATGTTATTTGATGCTTCTATGCGCCTACAATTGGTTTGATGTTTAAACATTCAATGAGTTGTCTTATAATGATAATTATTGCAAAATATTGGTGGCCTGAGTACAATAATTGTCCATATATAACGGTTGTCCTGTGAGAATCCAAAATAATGGTTGCTTGAGATATTGATTGTCTTGGAAGGATAATTGTTGCTAAATATTGGTAACCTTGGTAGGATAATTTTCTAGACATAATGATTGCCTTGATAGAATTCAAAGTAATGGTTGCGTTGCATTGATACACTAGCTGTCCGGTACACTAGCTGTTTGGACACAACAGTTGCCTTGGTACACTAGCTGTTCGGACACAATGGTTGCCCTGGTACACTAGCTGTGTCCGGACACAACGGTTGCCTAGGTACACTAGCTGTGTCCGGACACAACGGTTGCCATGGTACACTAGCTGTGTCCGGACGCGACGGTTGCCCTAGTACACTAGCTGTCCGGACACCACAAGGGTTGCCTAGGTACACTAGCTGTCCGGACAAAAAGGTTGCCTTGGTACACAAGCTGTCTGGACACAAAGGTTGCCTTGGTACACAAGCTGTCCGGACGCGACGGTTGCCTTGGCACACTAGCTGTGTCCGGACGCGACGGTTGCCTTGGCACACTAGCTGTGTCCGGACGCGACGGTTGCCTTGGCACACTAGCTGTGTCCGGACGCGACGGTTGCCTTGGCACACTAGCTGTGTCCGGACGCGACGGTTGCCTTGGCACACTAGCTGTGTCCGTACCCGACGGTTGCCTTGGCACACTAGCTGTGTCCGTACCCGACGGTTGCCTTGGCACACTAGCTGTGTCCGTACGCGACGGTTGCCTTGGCACACTAGCTGTGTCCGTACGCGACGGTTGCCTTGGTACACTAGCTGTGTCCAGACACAACGTTGCCTGGGTACACTAGCTGTGTCCAGACACAACGTTGCCTGGGTACACTAGCTGTGTCCAGACACAACGTTGCCTGGGTACACTGCAACGGTTGCCTTGGTACACTAGCTGTGTCCAGACACAACGTTGCCTGGGTACACTGCAACGGTTGCCTGGGTACACTGCAACGTTTGCCTGGGTACACTGCAACGTTTGCCTGGGTACACTGCAACGGTCGCCTGGGTACACTAGCTTTGTCCCGACGCGACGACTGCCTGGGTACACTAGCTTTGTCCCGACGCGACGACTGCCTGGGTACACTAGCTTTGTCCCGACGCGACGACTGCCTGGGTACACTAGCTTTGTCCCGACGCGACGACTGCCTGGGTACACTAGCTTTGTCCCGACGCGACGACTGCCTGGGTACACTAGCTTTGTCCCGACGCGACGACTGCCTTGGCACACTAGCTGTGTCCGTACGCAACGGTTGCCTTGGTACACTAGCTGTGTCCGGACGCAACGGTTGCCTTGGTACACTAGCTGTGTCCAGACACAACGGTTGCCTTGGTACACTAGCTGTGTCCAGACACAACGGTTGCCTTGGTACACTAGCTGTGTCCAGACACAACGGTTGCCTTGGTACACTAGCTGTGTCCAGACACAACGGTTGCCTTGGTACACTAGCTGTGTCCAGACACAACGGTTGCCTTGGTACACTGCAACGGTCGCCGTGGTACACTAGCTTTGTCCCGACACAACGGTTGCCTGGGTACACTAGCTTTGTCCCGACACAACGATTGCCTGGGTACACTAGCTTTGTCCTGACGCGACGGCTGCCTTGGCACACTAGCTGTGTCCGGACTCAACAACGGTTGGCTTGGTACTCTTAACTGTCCGGACTCAACAACGGTTGCCTTGGTACACTAGCTGTGTCCGGACGCAACGGTTGCCTTGGTACACTAGCTGTGTCCGGACGTAACGGTTGCCTTGATAGGATACAAAAAAATAACGGTTGCCTTGATAGGATACAAAAAATAAGGGTTGCCTTGATAGGATACAAAAAATAAGGGTTGCCTTGATATAGAATACAAAAAATAAGGGTTGCCTTGATATAGAATACAAAAAATAAGGGTTGCCTTGATATAGAATACAAAAAATAAGGGTTGCCTTGATATAGAATACAAAATAATGGTTGCCTTGATAGAATACAAAATAATAGTGGCGAAATATTTGTTGCCTTGGTACACTAGCTCTCCAGACACAACGGTTGCCTTGGTACGCTAGCTGTCCGGACGTGACGGTTGACTTGGTACACTAGCTGTCCGAACGTGACGGTTGACTTGGTACACTGGCTGTCCGGACGCGACGGTTGCCTTCTTGGTACACTGGCTGTCTGGACGCGATGGTTGCCTTCTTGGTACACTATAGCTGTCTGAACGTGACGGTTGCCTTGGTACACTAGTTTCTTGGATTGATAATTGTTGCGATATGTTGGTTTCCTTAGTACAATAATTATCCGAACACAACTGTTGCCTTGGTATACTAGCTGTCCGAACTCGATTGCCTTGGTACACTAGCTGTCCGAACACATCGGTTGCCTTGGTCCACTAGCTGTCCGAACGCATCGGTTGCCTTGGCACACTAGCTGTGTCCGGACATAATGGTTGCCTTGGTACACTAGCTGTGTCTGGACACAAGGGTTGCCTTGGCACACTAGCTGTCCGGACACATTGGTTGCCTTGGCACACTAGCTGTCCGGACACATTGGTTGCCTAGGCACACTAGCTGTCCGGACACAAGGGTTGCCTTGGCACACTAGCTGTGTCCGGACACAAGGGTTGCCTTGGCACACTAGCTGTCCGGACACAAGGGTTGCCTAGGCACTCTAGCTGTGTCCGGACACAAGGGTTGCCTAGGCACTCTAGCTGTGTCCGGACACAAGGGTTGCCTTGGCACACTAGCTGTGTCCGGACACAAGGGTTGCCTTGGCACACTAGCTGTGTCCGGACACAAGGGTTGCCTTGGCACACTAGCTGTCTGTTCACAACGGTTGCCTTGGCACACTAGCTGTCCGGACACAAGGGTTGCCTAGGCACACTAGCTGTCCGGACACAAGGGTTGCCTAGGCACACTAGCTGTGTCCGGACACAAGGGTTGCCTAGGCACACTAGCTGTGTCCGGACACAAGGGTTGCCTAGGCACACTAGCTGTGTCCGGACACAAGGGTTGCCTAGGCACACTAGCTGTGTCCGGACACAAGGGTTGCCTAGGCACACTAGCTGTGTCCGGACACAAGGGTTGCCTAGGCACACTAGCTGTCCGGACACAAGGGTTGCCTTGGCACACTAGCCGTGTCCGGACACAACGGTACACTAGCTGTCCGTACCCGACGGTTGCCTTGGCAGCCGTGTCCGGACACAACGGTACACTAGCTGTCCGTACCCGACGGTCACAACGGTACACTAGCTGTCCGTACCCGACGGTTGCCTTGGCAGCCGTGTCCGGACACAACGGTACACTAGCTGTCCGTACCCGACGGTCACAACGGTACACTAGCTGTCCGTACCCGACGGTTGCCTTGGCAGCCGTGTCCGGACACAACGGTACCCTAGGCACACTAGCTGTGTCCGGACACAAGGGTTGCCTTGGCACACTAGCTGTCCGGACACAAGGGTTGCCTTGGCACACTAGCCGTGTCCGGACACAACGGTACACTAGCTGTCCGTACCCGACGGTTGCCTTGGCAGCCGTGTCCGGACACAACGGTACACTAGCTGTCCGTACCCGACGGTCACAACGGTACACTAGCTGTCCGTACCCGACGGTTGCCTTGGTACACTAGGTTTCCGGACGCGATGGTTGCCTTGGTACACTAGGTTTCCGGACGCGACGGTTGCCTTGGTACACTATGTTTCTGGATGCGACGGTTGCCTTGGTACACTGACTTGATACACTAATTATCCAACATAATGGTTGCATTTACTGTCCAGACATAATGTCTGCCTTAATATGCTATTTTAAAATATGATTGTCTTGACATGATAATAGTTGCGAAATACCTGTTGCATAACGGTTGCCTTAATATAATAATTGTCCAGACATAATGGTTGCCTTTGTGCATTTACTGTCCAAACATAATATCTGCCTTAATATGCTATTTTAAAATGTGATTGTCTTGACATTATAATAGTTGTGAAATACCTGTTGCCTTGGTACAATAATTGTCCAGACATAATGGATGCCTTGATAGAATCCAAAATAATGGTTGTCTTGGAATGATAATTGTTGCAAATATCCGGTTGCCTTGGTACATTACCTGTCAAGACATAATGGTTGTCTTGATAGAATAAAAAACAGTGATTGTTTGAAATATTGGTGTCTCGGAATGATGACGATTGCTTGCTACAATAATTGTCTGGACATAAAATGGTTACAGATATGCTATTTTAAAATATGGTTGTCTTGAAATGATAACTGTTGCGAAATATTGGTTGCCTTGGTACAATATTGTCTAAACATAATTGTTGCTTTGACTGAATCCAAAATAATAGTTGCTCGAGATATATTGGTTGTCTTAGAATGATAATTGTTGCAAAATATTGGTTGCTCAAGATATTGGTTGTCATGGAATGATAATTGTTGCAAAATATTGGTTGTGAAATATCGGTTGCCTTTGTTGGTACATTGACTGTCCTGTATGGTTGCCTTTATAGAATAAAAAATAGTGGTTGTTTGAAATATTGGTTGTCTCGGAATTGTGATGGTTGCCTTGGTACAATAATTGTTCAGGTGGCAAGAGATATTGATTTTCTTGAAATGATAATTGTTGCAAAATATCGATACTTAAATTGTGTACCGATATTGGTTGTCTTGGTACCTATCCAAACATAATAGTTGCCCAGATAGAATAAAAAAAGTGATTGTTTGAAATATCGGTTGTCTTGGAATGTACGGTCACCTAGGGTATGTTATTATGCCTCTTTTTTATTTTTGTAAACTTAATTTTTCTCTGGTTTCCTTGTCTTATATTTCTTTTGCTGTGAAATTTACTCACTGGTTCATTTGATGTGTTCTATATTTGTTCTGATACTGCCTTGGAGTCTTATTTGTTCCCTTTACTAATGAGAAGCTGTTTTTTTCATTACGGGAGGATTTGACTGTTTCTCTTGCTAAATATTAGAATATCATGTATTAGATCAGTTTGCCTAAGAAGACGGTTGATTTAGTGCGGTGGATCTCGATCATACGCCTCAGGTTTGCTGACTTATAATTTTCTGTGGTTTTTCGAATTTGTTATGTAATTTCTTGACTTACATCAATTCCAAAACTGTTTTTGGTTTCAAGAAATGCAAAGGTTTTTAAAAACTGTTTTGGGTCATTGAAGAACAGGGCCCGAGTCCTTTTATTAAAAATGGAGTTAAACATGGTGAGTCCTTGCTAATTAGGTTTGTTTTG